CAGGAGTAGCAGATGAGCTGTTGTTCTTGGAAGAAGAAAACATGGATGGAAGGGGAAAAGGGCACTGCCCCCCCTTTAGTGGAATGTATCCCCCCTTTAGTGGAATGCCCCCACTTTAGTGGAACTGGACTGACCTGCAATCCAGTTTGGGAAGTTGAAGAGAAAAGTGCCTCGTCAGAGAAGAGGAAGATGCTTAATAGACTTACTTAAAAGTAACCTTTTAAAGAAATTCTGGTTAGGCATTAACTGTGAAGACTGCAAGTTCTGAGGAAAATCAAAACAAAACTTTTAGCTAATTACTGGTAAATTATTCATTCATTTATAGTTAAATTTTATATTGATTTTAAATTAAAACAGGCCTCACTTGTTATCGTTAGACTTACAATTCTCAAATGTGACTGAGTAGTGTAGTTCATTGATATATATTTTTGCAAAGTTGGATAGTGAATTTCAGTAAATAAAATCCCAATAATTTCCATTATAAAGTCATAGATCCGTGTCCTTAGGCAAATGAGTGAAACCTTAAAACATAAAAGTAAATCACATAAAAACACCAAAAAACTTTAAAACTTGTATATTCAAGGGAGAAAGTTCCTACAAACCTATGTTAATGTTAAATGTTATAAAATATAAAACATAATTCGTTTCTGAAAGCTAAAATGCACCAGAAATGGCATTTCTTTATGGATGTCACCTCTGATTTGTATAGTAATTTTGTCATACTAAAAGGTTGCCTCAGCCTGTCTTTATCCCTAGGTAAATAAAGCCTTTTAAATCTGTTATTTCTGAATGTGGGATACTTTGAAATTGCTTTAGTAGCACCAATTAAGTTTACTGTTTTCAAAAGGATAAATACTGCTTTAATGACTATGGGATGCCCTTTGAGAGATAATTTTCATAGTGCTATGAATGTAGACAGTCACATTTTATAGCTTTCTTTGGAATCAGCGCAGTTAGCAAACACTCGTTAGGGTGACAAAATACTTCCCTGACTGAGCTTACTGTTATGCTAGTACTTTTCAGCCTTTAGGTACTTCAATAGACAGCTGATTGAACAGATGACTTCTGCAGGGATGGAAGGATTGTCTTTTAAGATTATGTATTTCTACATGTTTTATTCAGATTTCCAAAAAGGCAAAAGACCCACAAATATAAGGATTGGTTGACTTTCTTAGTAAATGTTGAAGAAAATCAAATTTGAAGTATTATAAATGAAAGGGTAGGATACAAAAACTGTATGTACAGTGTAACCATTTGAATAAGGGGACGGGAAGGACTTTATCTTTGTGTTTTAGTTTATATTCATTTAAAAAATCTTTGGAAGAGATCAAAAGAAACTGTTACCAATTAGAGGGCAGGGTTGGAATTTGGGCAGATAAAGGACAATGGTAAGAGGAGGATTTTCAGTATATTTTTTCATTTGTTGGAGTGTTTCGTTGTTTTTATTTTGGGTGGTTTTTTTTTTTGGTTTTTTGAGACAGGGTCTCACTATGTAGTGGAGACTGACCTGGAACTCACTATGTAGTCCAGACTGGTCTCAAACTCACAGCAATCCTCCTGCCTCAGCTTCCTGAGTGCTGGGATTACAGGCGTGCACCACCGCTCCCAGTTTTTTTTTTTTTTTTTTTTTTTGAGGGAGAGGATCTCACTTATGTTTAGCCTGGCCTTGAACTCACTATGTAGCCTAGGCTGGCCTCAAATTGGTGGTGACCCTCTTCCTGCCTCAGTCTCCTTGAGTACTGGTATTACAGGCCTGTGCTACCACACTCAGCTGTTGGAGTTTTAAGATAGCAGTTTCTAACACTTTCATCTAAGTATAATGAGCATGAAAACTACATACAGTATAAAACATGTATATAATAGGAATATTAACTATATGAACATTATTTATTAAAATGGCAAGAAGTTAATTAAAGCTTTAACAATTGGCTAAGTAGTAGCAAAACTGATCTGCCTGGATTTTTTCCCCGCACTGCTGGGGATTGATCCCAGGGCTTCATGCATGCCAGGCAAGCACTCTTAACATTGAGCTGTCCTTACCCCTTTAATTTTATATATATATATATATATTATTTTGAGACAGGGTCTTGCTAGGCTGCCTCAGACTTGTGCTTCTCTGGCCTCAGGACCCTGAGTAACAGGCATCACAGTTGTGCACCACTGTGTCTAGCTCTGCCTTGGACTTTGAGCACTTGGGTACTTGTAATTCTACCTAAGAATTTTTGTTCCTTTTGACTAATGCTTATAGAAACTTAGGGTAAGGTTACTTTGGTGGTTTTGCAAACACCATAAATGTTCTGGTCTTCTTTTAAATCCTACCTGATAGGAAAGATTTTGAAAGCAAAACTGTCACAGACACATCCCTGATCTGAGGTTATTGACATTCTTCAAAATGAACAGTGAATGCGGAAACATTTTTTAAATTAAAGTTGTAGCTAAGGATAGGAATTTAACCCAGATTCTCCAGCTGTAAATGAACGAGGTTAAGGCCATTGTTTCCTCAGCCTCCACAGCCCCTTGTGTCAGCTTTGCCTGTCACACTTTCAGATTGGGGCTACAGCAAATCAGGCCTTGGGCGTGCAACAGTGTGCATGCAGGCTCCAGCTGGCCCAGCACAGACGGAGAGCATAACTTAATCCTCATTTGACTTCCCCACTCTGGTTCAGTCACATCCTCATACTAGAGTCACTTTGACAGACCCTTCCTTGGTCATGGAAAGGGTCTTCTGGTGTCTGTAGCTGCTGGCTCTGGTTCTCCGTCTGATAAGGATGACAGTTTTCCCCTCTGTAGAACTGTCTGCCGAATGAAGCAAGGATGAGAATTTCCAAAATCAGTTTTTTTAAATTCAGCTTTTGCATGTTTGCAGTCATCCCATTCCTTTTGTCTCTTGATCTGCTAACCCAGATCATTGCTTTGTCCCATCCCGATTGTACCACTGAGAGGAGCCAATCAGACTCTGAGACTGAGTGTCATTGTTGGGACCAACTCGCTCTCGTTCTCTGATTTCCACTTTCTGTGCCACCCGGGCACCTCATGGATAAGTCATGTTATTCTTTCCCAGTCCAGTTGTATTATGGGAAAAGTACTTAGGGAAAACTGGGTAACCCAGTAGTAGAAGCCCTGGTTTGGGAGTCAGACATCTGAATGCAGGACCTCACGTTGCCATGAACTGTGCTGCAGTCCTGGTCAGTGCTTTGACCATTATACATTCTCTGCTGTGTTTCTTGTTGAAGATATGACGTTAGTTACTTATTAGTGTAAAGCTGTACTAAAAATAAGTATAGTGAAGCTTATTTCTTGGAAGACAAGAAATGGACATATAGTATATTAAGTGCAGCTGTTTTATAAAATGGGTAGATGAGAAGATTCCTCAGGTGCCTTCTAACTCTGTGAGGTTTTGTGAGGAAAGTTGCCCCTTGACTACAGAGGGTGGAATTACTTCTGCTTTTGTCTGCCCGTGATGCCTTTTAGATTCCAGTGTAGCCAGCTTCGTTCACCAATGCATCTTCAGAGCATTTTCCCTCCCTTCTCTCTGTGCTGTTTGGTTTTTTCCAGTTATGAATTTTAGATAAATTTCATAATTTTGTCCTCAAAACAAAGGTTTGTGAAGAGGCAAGGCCATTTGTGTCTGTGTTTTATAGGTTTACAGGAGTTATGTGATTTGCCCAAACTTACATACCCTGCAAATGTCAGGATGGCTTCTTTTATATCCTGAGTCCTCTTCTCCATGTTCCCATTTTGAATTTGTAAGTTTAAAATTAGAAAAAGTGACACAAAGATGTTTGAAGATTTTATCATCCTGATCTGAAATCAGTTAATAAAATATTTATTTAGAATCTTAAATTGTTTTGGGGACAAGAAAGACTACTTACTGTTGTAGAGTATTGGATCATCTTACATGCAAAGCACAATGGATGTAAGAAATACAAAGCCTTTGCCATCAAATGGTTTATCCTTTGAAAGTTGAATGCGAATAGTAGTCATCTAGTTTTATGTAATACAGTAGAGGATTTTGTATAGGAGAGATGTGTTGGGGGAGGAGTCTGAGAAAACTGAAGGTCAGGGTCATGTTCATGTCCACATTGTGGGCACCAAACTCCCATTGGGGTTAATGAGGAAATGGTTGATTATAGAAGTTTAGGAGGAACAGGGAGATGTTGGATCTAGCTCTAAGAGGGGTGGCTCATTTGGAGTTTCAGGTTAACGGGTAACATTTTCTAAGGCTGGGAGTCAGTGATTCTCTTGAGAAAGTGAAGGGTAAGCCTACGACAGATTGGGAATTTAGGGTGAGCAGAATGGTCATGGGAAGGGAACAGGCCAAAGTCGCAGACAAGGCCACCTCCTGTGGGTCTGGGTATACATCGCAAGCCCCAGCAGTTGCTCTGAAGAGCATGTCAGCCATTTCGGTCCCTCCTCTTCAAAAGGTGGCTGAAATTTATACCACCCATTTTCCTGCCTCTTCTCTCTTGTTTGCACGCTGGTATCACGCTGGTGTCTGTGTATGCGCACACACACTCACACATTGCCACTTACCGCAGCAACTCTCAAGCAACCGTAGGGTTTTTTTGTTTTGTTTTGTTTGTCCTGATCATATAAGATTGTTAAAATGGCCCTTGGCTGCTGCTCTGCATACTGTTTTCAAAAGGTAAATGAATAAAATGAAAGAAAACCATGTGGAATAATTGTTCAAACTGCTTTGTATACCCTTCTAATTTCATACAAGTCATGTATTTTGGCCCCAGGTGATTATAATTCATGAATAGGTTATGTTTTATTTTCTTGAAATTTTTGCCTTTTGAGGTATAACCGAATCACCACTAGCGTATTTTTTCTGAAGCCATACCTATTTGTTCCTTTTGTTTGTTCAAATGAAACAGCACTTCAAGTGTGGAATTAGATTAATGGAGTAAATATTATGAATCATACACTCTAATCTGATGCTCTTTCTTCTTTTTCTGACCCACGTTTTGTTTTCTGTCGGTCTTCCTCTCTCCATGTAGGCTGGCAGTCCAGTGTGAAGCTGCTGGAGCGAGGGAGCAAAGGTAAAGAATGATGTAATGCACTGGCGGCCCCAAAGCATCTTTTGTTGTGAAATGGTTATTCCAGTCATCTCTCTGTGAATCCGATGTGAGGGGCTGCTTTGTGGAAGGGGTCCTTTGCAAGAGCACATCAACGGGGAAGAGAAAGAGACATTCAGTTGGAGGGCTCTTGCTGAAAATGGGTTTAACTCTCCTTTTGCCAGTCACCACCAGCCTGACCTCATACATTTTTAGTACAATGGGGTGGCTGAGCCTTTGAGCACCCCACCATTACATCATCGTGGCAAATTAAAGGAGGAGGTGGAGAAGAGGACTTACTGTTGTCATGGCCCATGAGATGATTGGAACTCAAATTGTTACTGAGAGGCTGGTGGCTCTGCTGGAAAGCGGAACGGAAAAAGTGCTGCTAATTGATAGCCGGCCATTTGTGGAATACAATACATCCCACATTTTAGAAGCCATCAACATCAACTGCTCCAAGCTCATGAAGCGGAGGTTGCAACAGGACAAAGTGTTAATTACAGAACTTATCCAGCATTCAGCAAAACAGAAGGTAAATGCTTTCCCGTTTTTTTTTTTGTTTGTTTGTTTGTTTGTTTGTTTTTGCCTTTTTAAGACAAATGGATAAACTTGGGAACAATTTGAAGTGAAATCTCATTTTTAAGTGGAGAAAGTAATTTGAGAAGTTCTGGTTGCTTTTCAGATTTTAGTATCTTGTAGTACCTCAAAATAATTTACCAGTTGTTACATTTATGCATATTGTATATTATACTGAAAGATTAACATGTTCTGTTTTGGGCACAAGCTGTTTCCCGATTAATGGCTTGATGAAATTGTTTTCTCAATTTAAACATTATCCTATATTTTCTACACATCCACTTTGGAAAGTGAGTAGGAACTAATTATTAGATGTACTTTTCATATCTGGTCACATGTATGTGCCATAATACTGGTCAAGACATAAGGATTTTACCTTTAAGGAAATTATTCCTAGGGTGCCGAAATGTCTCTGTTAGAGAAGGCTATATCTATTCCTCATGAAGACAGACAAGCTCATCTTTTAACTTTAATAAGCAGCTGATTGATTGTTATCTAAGAACCATATTTAAAATGTTTCTTTAGGTCAAGTTTTGTTTATTTTACATATTACATATTTAATTTATGAACTTTACCCTTTTATAATTGTCAAGTATTTAAAACTAATGCATTTTGAGCACTTCTACCTAGAAATGGCATCACTTGACTTTCAAGAGTTGATTTAGGGCTAGGGATTTAGCTCAGTGATTCCACCACCTGCCTTGTAAGCACAAGGTCCTCAGTTCAATCCCCAGTACCACCCCCCCAAAAAAAGTTGATTTATACAAGTGTGTATGCTAACTTTATCCAGTAAATTAATCATCTCATTTTTATTCAAATAACTAATTGAAAACAAGAAGAAATGGTCCATGTCAGCACCATAAACATGATTTTGCTCAACCAGTTGTTTTTAAGATAATTTTTCTCGCCTGCCTTTCTACAACAAGTGTCACATTGCCTTTCAGGTTGACATTGATTGCAGCCAGAAGGTGGTAGTTTACGACCAGAACTCCCAGGATGTTGCCTCTCTGTCATCAGACTGCTTTCTCACTGTACTTCTGGGCAAACTGGAGAAGAGCTTCAGTTCTGTCCACCTGCTTGCAGGTAAGACTGTGTATGGTGACGAGGACTTGGAGTCTCACTGAGCCACATTAGCAGTATTGCCTGGTGAGCTCAAAGTACCTCAGGCCATGGCAGCTGTGATGTGTAACATGATTTAGAGCTTTTGATGGATGTAACAGTTCTGTTTCACTTGAATAATCTCATTCTTCCTCATTGGTCAGTGTATTTTTTATTCAGCCGAGGTATCCATGCCCCAGTGTTTATTAGCTAATAAAGCCACACAGGCTGTCGTGCCTGCGCATGGAGAGCTCAGAGCCAGTTTTTCTACCTGAGGATTTTTCTGTTCACCTGTGATGTCAGAACACCAAATGATCTCAGCTGCTGCCATTAGTTCCTGCCTATGTGGCGAGGGTCAGACAAGCATTACAGTGTCAGGCTCTTACCAGACATTTATGTGGACTCCAGAGATAGGTCACCTTTCTGGGTATTAGTGAATAATAAATAGGGAGAGCTGTGCACAGTGTTTCTTCTAATTATTATGGGGCTATTTTAAAACTTGTATTTTTGTTTTTACACTAGAAAAAGAAGTCTCAACTTATGAATGGTAAATGACTGCATGATTTTAGAAAGGACAAAATATTTTATATCTGCCCCAAGGGAGTTCCAGCTCACTGAATTCCAAACCAGACTGTCCATCCTTCCCTTCCCGTTTTTGTGGGTGTTACTGAAGTCCTTTGACTCACACTGGCTCCCAGAGGGGTCAATGCAGTTTACTAGGGCATGGAATCTTAACATAAAGCTGCCGTCAGGCACATTTAGCCACAGGGAGAGGCAAGAATGCTTTTAACAATTTGATCTAAAAAAATCAAAATATTGAAGTTGTTATCACTTTATACTGTCAGTGTTTTTTTTAGAAGGAAGGTACAGGGAACTTGATGTTACCAGCACTTGATTGTTAGAAGTATAAACATTCCTGTGTTAAGAGTAAAGGCTTAACCAGTTGTTGGTGTGCTATTACTTTTATTTGTTTGTTTGTTTTGGTATGGGGGATCAAACTCAGGACCTTGCTCTTGTGAGGCAGGCAGCCGCACCACTGAGCTAAATCTCCGGCCTGCTTCTACTTTTAAACTCTGCAGGTTTAGGTGAGGTTTCTGTGTCTCCAGCTTGCATCATCTGTAGCCACATCTCTCGTTTGTGCTGTGATTCTGTCTGATCTCTCTGTGCCTGTTCTTGACTGGAGCTTGCTTGTTTGACAGTGCAGTTTTTAGAATTCTGTGACTGAGAATCATAATATTCCATCCCGTCTGTTGATGGGCACTTTTGTGTGTGTAGTGTTGCTGGGTGCTAAACCCAGAGCCTTACATATGCTAAGCAGACCCTTGGCCACCTAGCTACACCTCCAGCCTGGTAGGCACATTCTTTTAATGGGAATATAAGTGTGCTACATATAACACTTACTAGAGTGCCACTAAAATAATTTTCTGAGTTTAGGCCCTCATCAGCTTTTGTAGCCATTGTAGCAGACTTTACTTTGGAATTCTATTCATGGAATCAGGGTTTTAAAATTTTTTTATTATTTTTAAAATTATTTTTAAATTTTTTATTTTTGGTACTGGAGATCAAACTCGGGACCTTGCACTTGCAAGGTAGGCGGCTGTACCACTTAGCTAAATCCCTGGCCCAATCAGGGTTTTTTTAAGGGGTTTTGCACCAAGATGTGCTTGCTGACAAAGTCGTTATGCCACCTGCTGTAGTTGAGATACTTTTTCCCTGTGGGGGCTCCGACATGACCAGCTGGCCAAGCAGACACCCCGCAGAGGGAGCAACTGAGTCCCCAGCACAGGTGTCTTGATTACTTCAGTGCCCCTTTACTCCCTTTGCCAAAGAGCATTCCTTTGTTCTTACCGATCACTGTAGCTTGGGAGGGGCACAGGGATCCAGTCTCATCAGCTAGGTCAGCCCTAGGGACACACTGAGGTAGGGCACACTGAGTCCGAAGTCTCCGAAACCCTCCTTTCAGACAAGAAGCATTTCCTAGGCCTCCGTGGAAGCGCACTGAGGCAGCACTGCAAACCACAGTGACTGCTGATGGCACCAGTTCCTCATCCTCCTCCAGACTCCTATGTTTCCTAGCCTAGGAGTGGCTCTCAGGTCTGCAGTGCCTTACTTGGGAGTTTTTGGGCAGCCAGATCTCTCTGACACCTAGGAGTGTTCTGCAGCATTAAAAGTCCGCAGCCATCTGGAAGCCTGTGACCAGTTGGGAATTCTCTTGGTTAGTGGATCTGTTCCTTGAGGTAGATAGAAAATTGATGTAAGTAGACAAGAATGGTGGGAAAGTAGTACCATCAAATTTGGGGAAGCTGCTCTTTTGCCAGGATCAAGCTGTTCACTGGGTGTGCCAGGAATTGAGACAGAGGACGTATCAATGAAAGTTTCTTAAATGTTTTGCTTGGAGAGAAATAAATGGCCATGGGAAGCCACGCTAGTTTCCCACAGGGGCCACTATAAATTACTAGATCACAATGATATAAGTAGAGTGCTTTCTTGGAGTAATTTTTCCATCCGTTGAGAGCTTTCCACCACCTTGAGAAACAAAAGCATCAGCTGTGTGAGATGGCGTTTAAGGTCACTAGGTAGGGAAACAAAGAATTGTGCCAAGGTTCTATTCATACTGTCAGGATTTCCTTACTCAGAGATGAATAAGTTTGAACAAGGGAGTAAGAGGATTTCCTACAAAATTGATAAGACTGTCCCAGAGCATCTTTTTTGAGGCGGGGCCTAAGTAGTACATAGTCCAGGCTGGCCCCCAACTTGGTGGGTTGTCCAGGCTGGCTGCTCAAGCTCACTACCCTCCTGCCTCAGTCTTAGAGATGCACTAGGGACTGTAGCACAGGGACTGTAGGGATGCACCACCATACCCGCTGACAGCAGCATCTTAATGAGCTTTTCTCTCAACTGGGTGGACCCAGACTTACCTGGAGAACCTACAAAATGAAGGATTACTGCAGGAATGGGGCTGGGATATGGGGAAGCTATACTGGAGTGCAGTGGGCTTACCTCTTTAACCGAGCACAGATCTTATTTATCTTTTTGTTCCCCAAAGCCAAGAACTTCCTAAGTTTTCAATAAATATTTGATATACCTATTACTTACAGGTTTATACCATTTATATTTCATCTGATTTGTTTTATTAGTTTAGATTATAGGTGATTAAACTGGTAAACTCTGAAAGTATAGACAAAACTTCATTGCTTTGAAAGAAGTTATTTGTAAAGTGCATTTATTCAGATAGAACAACATGTAACTGCTATGGGAAAAGTAATATGAAATTATTTTCATCTAAGGAGATGTAAGCATATTAAAGTCTTGTAAAAATACTGCAGTTAAAAAATGCTAATTTTGTGTGATGCTTCAATGCTGAAATTTGATAAATAGCTAATTAAAAATCTAGCTCTATTCATAGATACAATTTCTTGAATCCATGCTAATGGAGAAAAATAGAAATAACATTTATATTTAAAAATGTAAATGTAATACTGGACATGGTGATACACACCTGTAATCCCAGAACTCAGGAGGCTGAGACAGAAGAATTCCTGCAAGTTTGAGGCCAGTCTGGGCTATGTAATGAGTTCAAGACCTGCCTGAACTACATAGTTGAGATCTTGTCTCAAAAACAAAAAAGTTAATGTAAGGGTTTTTTTAAGGCATTAGTCACACCATAGCATTGTTTCACATCATAGCATTGTTTCAATCCCTCCACTCTGTCCCCTCTTGGACTGAAGGGTTTAATTATTCCTCGTTTTGCAGCCTCGTTTTAGCAAAGAATAAGGTTTTCCATCGTCCTTTATTGGGTAGGTTATGGCAATAACACTCCCTCTTTTTGCTCAGAATTTGAAGTTGGTTATTGAGTAAGCACAGTTTATTTATTTATTTAATTTATTTATTTTTTTGTACCGGGGATCAAACTCGGAACTTTGAGCTTGCAAAGCAGGCGGCAGAACCACTGAGCTAAATCCCTGGCCCAGCAGTATAAAGACCCACATTTATCTTCTCTACCACTTTAAAAATTATGACTTCAGAACTCACCTTAATAGAGTGACAGAATGGGTGAGACATAAACATTTGTTTCGGAAGAATGACTCTGTAATCTAGAACAGGCTTTTGTAAGGGAAAAATGCTGTGACTTCTATTTGGTTAAAAAAAAATGACTTATTTTTTCTTTCTTTCTTCCTTTTTTTTTCTGGTTCTGGGGATTGAACTTATGCTTGAGAGGCAGGCGGCAGAACCGCTGAGCTACATCCCCAGCTCCTGACTTTCTATTAAAATGAAGAGAATCTAATTCTATTGAGAATATTTCAGGAAAGTTTATGTAGTTAAACATTAAAAGAATTGTAGAGAAATATTTACAAAGAATAAACTATTTTGAACTTGCAACAGTTGCAGATGTGTAGGACGCCAGGTTGAGGGCAGCAGTAGGAATCCGGGTGCTGGAGTGGAACTGCCAAAGGCAGAGTGGGAGGGGGCTGCCTCTGTGGCCCCAGCACCAGTGTTTGCTCTGAGAAATTTCAGATCAAAGCCGGGGGAGGAGGGAAGTGAGGCTTTAGAGAATCCAAACTATGAATCATCTTCAGGCTTTGGCAATAAATAGATTTAACATAAACCTTATTTATTTATTTATTGGTTTTTTGGGGGCAGGGTCTCACTATGTAGTTGAGACCACCCTGGAACTCACTGTGTAGCACAGGCTGGTCTTGAACTCACAGCGATCCTCCTGCCTCAGCCTCCCAGTGCTGGGATTACAGGTGTGCGCCACCATGCCCGGTTTAACATAAACTTTAGATAATGAGAAAAGAGAGGCAGGAGGGCAAAGGCTAGGTCAGAGTGGGAGAGTGAGTTCCCTGTCTCTGGCCTCTGTTGGCTTGGAGCAGCAGCAGCCTGTTCGCGTCTCTGCAGCTCACCTCTGGGTGACTTTGGATCCACCATTTAATCTGAGTCATGGTGATTGTTTTATAGGCTCCTAAACAACAACAACAACAAAA